ATGACAACGCAAAGGAACACATTCAAAGCCTTATTTGGTGAGGAAAACATCTTTGAAGGTGACCACAATCCGCACCTCCGTGAGTTACACATTCGTACCTTTATTCGATGACTACGACATCTTTGAATGTGACCACATTCATAGCTACTGCACCAAGCTCCAACAAAGATGAAATCATGGGAACACAATCACTGATCTTAAACAAATAATAGATGTTTGTCTAAGTTTACCTATTCAATTTCTATTGAGGGATTGAAAATTGAAGACTTAAATTTGGGCTTACTTTGTGGGAGAAGAAAAAGGGGTTTCCACAATGAAGACGGATTATAAAAGTACGAGGTAGGTTATACTTAGAACTTTTTTTTTACAACCTCTTACAACCATATCTTAACACCGTTGATTTTCGCCAATCAACGATTATGATTTTCGCAAATTATACTCATTAATTAATTATTAATTCACAATAAATGATTACCGTTGATGAGCGGAAATCAACAGTGTTAATATATGATTATAAGAGGTTAAAAAAAAAAGATTGTAAGTATAACTTTCCTCTAAAAGTATTTATGTACTATCCAATCATTTTTGTACTCTCATCTCATGTGATAACGGTGATGGCATGGAAAATTCGAATGGAATTTAGAAACTAGAGAATCTTGCCAAACAATAAAAAGGAATGTTCTAAAAAATGTTGTTTCACCCCTAAGCTCTAGGAAAATGCAAGTTGGCACGATATCAGCCATGTGTGGTGCGGAAAGGAATTAGATTCCCATTTGTTTGAAAAATAGGTTTAATTGGATTTTAGTTAAATTTTATGTATGCACCAAAAAGGAAAAAAGAGCAAATCATGGATCGAACTTTATTTGGTTGGGCTTCAAAATCGTTATGGAGATTTTATGCCAGATTGATGGCTTGGTCTCTCTGGCTGAAGTTCTAGCTTTTCGAGTCTTGGCCCAAAAGTACTTTACTACTTGCAAGGAAGAGATAGGAGATAAACTCTTTGGTCTCTCTATTGCATATAGTATATGAACTAAACACAGATAAAGAATCCGGCCTTTTGACCATGATGATGTGAGTTTTAAAATGTATCACCGGAATAATTTCCGGATGAAAAGTTTTGCCAATATAATGCATGACAACGCGGTTGGGAAATTGACGCTTAAGGACGTGACACGATCAATGCCGCGTTCTGTACAATATTTTGGCACCGTTATCCGTGTCCTTATGACGTGATACCATCCCTACCACGTCTCTGCTACGTTCTGTACCGTGTCCTTAGTTCTGTACCGTTGTCCTTAAGACGTGAACCGTTGTCCTTAAGACGTGATACCATCCCTACCACGTCCCTGCACATTCTGTACCGTTGTCCTTAAGACGTGATACCATCCCTATCACGTCCCTGCTACGTTCTGTACCGTGTCCTAGGACGTGATATATTAACTGCCGCGTCATTTGCAACCAGTCACTTCCCGTCAGTCCACGATGCACCAGACGCGGTAGGTAATCAAACATGTTATGGTTAGTCATTTCAAAACAAACGTGACGCTGGTTCAAACGCGTCCAATTAGCCAATCAGATTTCTCCATGGACTGTGGGAGTCCTGAAAATGTCTCTTCCCCAACCGTGTCCGGGCCTATATTAACTACCACTCCCGATCCCCATATCATCAGTTTGCCTCTGCATTTCACTAAGCGTTAAGGCCTTCTGGTATCTATCTTTGTTCTATACTTTTGTTGAAGTGTTTGTTCTGTTATGGAAAAAAAATGTTGAGCTGTTTGTTCTTTTATGGAAAAAAAACGTTGAGCGTTGTTTGTTCTTGTGGAAAAAAAAACGTTGAGTTGTGTTGTTTGTTCTTTTATGGAAAAAATAGTATTTCAAACTCAATGTTCCATACTTTCTCTGTTGCTTAGTTGAAGTGTTTTTTGTAATATGAAAAAATAAATTTATGAATATCAGATTATGTTCATAGTTAATCATGCTTTTTTATTTGTTATTTCATGTATGCTTTATACTTTAGTATTTATTTTCCACTAAAACTTTATCATAGTAATTATATGTTGTATGTAAAAAAATAAAGACATTTTCAAGGCACCTCAGGTAATATTATTTCATACGTTGCACTAAGTAGTAGTTTTGTTATATTGCATTATATTACATAGTTTCTACCATATTAAATATTTTGTATTTCTATCTTTTGTGGAATTTCTTGCAGGAAAAATGAGTTCAAATTTACAAACAGTTCGTGCACTTATATATTATAATGGTAGAAAGGTTATGGGTCGTCGTGGTATAACATTTGAAGGTGAAAAACGACCAATGCGTATTACACGCGGTACTACCTTTGCGCAGTTAAAAGCGAACATTCATAAGAAATTGGGATTACAAGGGAATCAACGTATTTCTGAAGTCACCGTAAGAGCTTTTGCTGGCAATTCTGAATACACAACGATATCTATTACAGATGATGATGATGTTGATATTATATTAGACATATTTGTGGAACAAGCTGACACGAGTTCTGATCATACAAATGGTAGAAAGTTTGTGGAGATATATGTAAATTTTGAAAATACCGATGATTTGTCAGTACCGCAAAGGTCGCTTGATCTGAATACAACACCAGTCATTGATTATTTAAACAGACATGCATCATCATCTGTACTTCCAGATGCACCCAACAGTGCGTTATTTGATGATGTGGACATGCCAACATATGACCGTAATGACGATGACGAAGAAGAAGAAGACGAGGATGCGTGCCTGGCAGCCGACATTAATGACGATGACTCAGCTAGCGAAGATGACGACCATCATAATCCATCTAATATGCCTATAGGGTTTCAAAGCAACGTCAAAAAATATAAGTCCAATAACCATAACATATTCATAATAAAATTAATTTTTTTAACAAATTTTATAATAGAAATATAACATATTTAACAACTTTAATAGAATAATGAATACAATAGTACTAAAATCTTATACGCATAATATAAAACAGTGTTAGAAGACAAAAAATAAATAGGACCAGTGTAGACACAAATTTTAATCATGCATTAAATATAAAGCCAATAATAATAATAATAATAATATAATACTTTTAACAAATTTAATAATATAAATATAGCTTGATTAACAACTTTAATAGAATAATAATAAAATTTTATGCAACTAAATATAAAACAATAATAATAAAATTACTAGCAAATCATAAAAACTAAATATACTAACCTAATGTTTTTAGCAACAAAGAAAGAGACCTTTAAAGAACATAAAAATACAATAAAATTATTAATATAGCATATAACATATTGAACAAATTTTATAAAATTATTAATATAGCATATAACATATTGAACAAATTTTATAAAATTATTAATACAATAATCACAAATTTCTGTTGCAATTAAATACAAAATATTAATACTATAAACAATAGCAATAATCACAATTAAATTCACTATTCTAACATTTTAAGACAAAAAGAGAAACTTACAAAAATCTAATATCTTAATAATATGATTTTAACACATGTGGACCAGATTATAATACTACTTACTTGAAAATATGACAAATCTAATATGTTAATCATACAGCAAACCTAATATCTTAATAATACTGCAACCCATTAATTTTAATAATACAGCAAACCAAGCATATAATAATACTACTTACTTGAAAATGATACAGACAATGGCAAACTGAAAGAAACCCCACAACCACTAGACGCGTTCTTTGTTGGAACAGACTGGGATCTTCTGCCGGAGACGAGGGAGAATAAGTAGTGGTCCAAGGAGGGCTGGACGCGGCATCTAGAAGAACGCCTCCTGGACGCGGCTCTGAGACGATCGCCTTCAGTGGAGGAGATGGTGGACCACCATTGGCTGGCGGTTCGCGGCTTGACAGGTACCGCGTCAGTGGTCTTCCGACACTGCAGAGACGCGGTCTTCACACAATCACGTTCCAGTTACATCACTTCAGCCCAGTTCCATCACTTCCAGCACCGATTGTCACATGATTTCTGTTGCATGTAACGCGGTTTGGAACAAAATGCGACTGAAAACGGTACATTGTCCACCGCGTCGTTATGCACTATTCTGGCAATACATTTCACCTCGAAATCATTCCGGTGATACATTTTAAAACTCACATTAGCATGGTCAAAAGGCCTAAAGAATCCAGTGGGGGAAAAAAACATTATTCCAAAATATTTATATAAATATAATATTTGGTGTTTTACATTCACATAAAATAAACTATTCCTAGTTGTCGCTTGTCATCCGCTGCAATTATTTTTTATCTTTAGTGTTATTCATATATGAATTCATCAGTTCCTATTTTTCTCATATGAAATAAACACAAATAATTTAATTTCTGTTATGGATTAATTAGATGGTCCTTATTTTTATCCTCACTGCATGAAGCACTTCACTCTCCTATTTTCTCTCAACTTTTCTCCACTACATATAACCAACCACCCATTATGAGCACCACATCTCTAATTGCTAGTGCACTTCATTTATATACAGCTCTCTATAGCAAAGGACTAAGCAGGTTCTACAACATCTTTACCACATATTAAATGTTCATTCTAGAACAATTTCCTATCCCACATTTAATAATTTTGATTTGATTTTGTATTCCACGTTGGGAAACATATTTGATTTGTCCATTAAAATTATAAGGCTTAGATAATATATTTATGTATAAAGCGGAAATAAATAAATAATTGGTAGTGGCATTAATTCGTTTCAATGTGATTAATTCAATATTACATATGTCTGAAGTTATAAATCGAGGTTAAGAATTTTCCAATATGTAAATAATGCATTTATACGTATCAACCTGAAATGCAAAGATAATATCTCGGTTTAATTGTAAGGCACTGTTATTAAGGAACCGGATGCAATGCAAGACAAATGCCAGCAAAGCAAATCACTGTGATTTCATTTTTGTTGGGCCATTAACAGTGATGATTTGTTTTCTCTGTCCATATCTTAATCTTAATGATCTCAGTAAAGAAGGGTTGTTAAGCCACTTAAGTTGTTGTCTATATATAAATTAGGGTTTTTATTCTGTTGCAGACAGTGTTTGAGAATCACAATAATAATAATAATACCAAATTCCAACCAGATAAGGAGCATGGAAGCTTCACTTCTTTTGGTTGATACCTTTTTCCTTTCTCTCTCTTCTCTTATTGTTGTTTTTTAGTTACCTACTGTCTTTGATGGAAGTCAATGGCGTGTGTGGGTCTCGTTTTCATTTGTTTCAAACACCAAAAGTTTGATTTTTTTTAGGGTTCATAGCCTCATCTCTATTGCTCTTTTTGGGGGTGTTGAAAGATCTCCTTTTTAGGGGAGGAATGAGATTTGTGAATCACATTGTGGAAAGTTTTGATTTCTATTATTGGATTTTGATTCATCAATAGGATTTTGCTGTGAAAGTTTTGTAATTTTTGCTTGGAAATTGTACTTGTTGGGAAAAAAAATCGGATTTTTAGACTGATTTGTTAGATGGGTAATGCTGAGGTATTGTTGTGATGACTAGTTGAAGTTCTGTAGCTGGAAATCTCAGGCAATTTTTTTGAGGAAATGGAGGATCAGGCTGTTTTATGTGGCGGGGCTTCTGTTAATGTTGGAAGAGAGGAAGAGGAAGATGAGTTTTGCAGTTGCTGTGAAGATGAAGAAGTATTTAAAGAGACTGAGGAGCCAGTGGTGGAAGGGTTGAAGGATGAACTTGATGAATTTTCTGTAAGATTGTTCTTTAAGGGGTTGTCAATAGCAGGGTTTGAAAATTCAAGTTCTGGGTTTTCTGGAATTGGAGTGTTCATGGAAACATCATCTAGTCTTCCAGCTATACGGGTGCAGAAAAAACTTGACTTTTATGAAGAGGAACCAGTAGCTGACTACTTGGCACTCATGGATGGCTTGCTGAAAGCTGTGCAGAACAAGATTCGCCGGGTTTATGCTTTCACAGATTCTGAGTTGTTGTACGATCAGGTTAGCAATTCATTATTTAGTCTTGACATTTCTTTGTTTTATGAACTCTACATTGATTGATGAAGATCCAGAAAAACACTGGGGTGCCAAAATTGTTAATCAGTTGTACTGAATGTTCTATTTGTTAGCTGTATGTTTGTTGTTGTTTTCATATCTTAATTTTTGTTTTAGTTTGTATATAAAATGGTTTGAGGTTTGTGTTCTAGCAGCCACATTATGATGCAATTTGAACAGCACAGTTACTTTTTAATATAAAAGCAGAAATTGTTCACGCTGTAATTTATCGTGCATGTATAAGCCTTTTTCTTGAACATAATGGGAATGCTTTGTGGACTAGAAGGATTGATTTTACCATTTAAACATCAGAGGTTAGCCTACATTTCAAATTTGTTTTAAGAATACATTAAATGAATTACTTTGACATGTGCCACTAGCCTCGAATAATTCTTTAATGTGTATTTGCGTGTATTTTCCCAGGTCACCTTTCTTTGATTGTCATTTTGTTTGAATGTGAATATTTTGGCAGATAACATTTGAGAAAAAATTGGAGATGCCACTCTTGATAGCACTGAGAGAAAGGATTCTGGAACATGCCAATAATTTTGAAGCTTTTGTTCTGAAGCTTGTACCCAGTACTGATCTTGAGCAGCCACTGCAGTTGGCCAAAGTAGCTATTGGACTTGTCACTTACCCTGTAAATGGTGAGAGATTACTTCAGAACTGTTCTATTTGTTGTGAAGACAAGCCAGTGCCAATGATGATGACCTTGAAATGTTCACACACATTCTGTTCCCATTGCTTGAGGGCCTATGCCGATGGTAAAGTACAATCTTGTCAAGTCCCTATAAGATGCCCTCAACCAGGATGCAAATGTTACATCTCTGCAGCTGAGTGCAGGTCTTTTCTTCCATTCACCTCCTTTAAAGCTTTGGAGAAAGCCCTTGCAGAAGCAAATATTCTCCATTCAGATAGAGTTTATTGTCCATTTCCAAATTGCTCTGTTCTCCTTGATCGTCGTCCATGTTTATCAGATACAGCCAGTTCATCTAGTCAGTCAGAGAATTCTTGTGTTGAATGTCCTGTTTGCCAGAGGTTTATCTGCGTGGAGTGTGAGGTTCCTTGGCATTCTTCTATGAGCTGTGAAGAATACCAGAATCTGCCAGAGGATGAGAGAGATGCTTCTGACATTACCTTGCATCGTCTTGCTCAGAATAAAAGGTGGAAGCGTTGTCAGCAGTGTCGTACAATGATCGAGCTTACTCAAGGTTGTTACCACATGACATGCCGGTAAGAAACAACTGCTCTTTATTTGAAATGAAAAAAAGAAGTGATGATTACTTTTATGTCCATTTTATTTTTGTGGTCTATCATTGCTGAGTGGAACCTACTTAGATGTAGGTAGTCAAAGTATATATTGAAAGTGGAACAATATAGCATATGATACATGAAAAGAAGTGAGAGATCTGCCTTTTGAAACCAGTGTTGCGTGCAAGTTCTCTTTTCTTCCTTGTTTGTTTATGATATTGCGTTTCCTTATGATTATGTGTAAATTGTGAAGAACTTATATGCTCTAAAAATGTAAAACGAAACTGTCTGTAGACCTTAATTAAATTTCTGTTTGAGGGTTAGAACATTTGAACTTTGAATGTATTGTGACATTAAACTAAGGAAAGACTCTGACATGTTTCTAAATGATAGTATTTAGATTCAGATTCAATAAAAAAAGTTATTTTGTAAACCACCATTATTATACTGCAGCATTTGAACTGTGTGTGTGATAGAGAGATAGATTAATTGGTTGGTGATATTGTGTGTGTGATAGAGAGAGAGATTAATTGGTTGGTGATATGATCCCACTGAAATGATTGTAGGTCAGAGCTCAGAAGAAGTGAAGTATATATAATTGCTTGGCCTGAACATTCATCTTGAATTCCTGACTCTCTAGTTGTGTCTCCACAATTTAGACCTCAGTATCGGTTCCAGATTGCTCTATTCAATGTAATCTATGGCCTGGTGCTGTGGATTTGGTTCTTTAGGTAACTAGTAGGTAGTGGCTGCTAGAATAGTATATTTTTATAAGCAAGGGGATTAGAATTAGGGTTGGCAAAACGGGCCAACCCGGCTCGACCCGCATTCAGCCCGAAAAAATGGGTCTGGTCGGATTGGCTCGAAAAAAAAACGAGCCAGAAAACCCAACCCGGCTCGACCCGAGCCGGGTTAGGGTTGGCTCGATAATCAGCTCGCGGGTTGGCTCGTAAAAAAGCTCACGGGTTGGCTCAAAAAAAGCTCGCGAGTTAGCTCGAAATGATGCTAGTGGGTTGGCTCGCGGGTTGGTTAGCTCAAAATATTGGCTCGAGGGTTGTCTCGCGGGTTGGCTCAAAAAATTTAATTTTTGTGGTTTGTTCTCCTGTATAAAATTATTGTATTTTGCAGTCCAACTACAAGTAGAGTAGTTTACAAAATCCAAAAACATTAAATGAAACACAAACCACTCCACGAATCACAGGAGTCAGTTATCATGATTTTCTGAATTACTCTAACTCACGATAACCATAAAACGTATATAAAGCCAAAAAATAAAAAATAAAAGAAATCCATTATATATTTCAACGATAAGCATCTAGAATCAAAAGCCAATCATGAAAAAAAAGGACCTGCAAAAGCGACCAATATAGTAAAGTCCATCAGTGGAGAATCCATCAGTAAAGGCCATTGTATTTTACTAAAAAAAAAAAAAAAAAAAAAAAGAGTAACCCGCGAGTTGGCTCGTTTGAGCCCGGGTTGGCTTGGGTCGGGCTAAATCGAGCTGGCAGCTCATTTTTGCCAATCCAACCCGGCTCGTTTTGTGCGGGTTACGAGCCAACCCGACGGGTTGGCTCATTTTTGCCACCCCTAATTAGAATGGTAAATTTCTCTTCCCTTTTGAATAATTATGAAAACAGAATAGAGTTCTTGTAACGCTCGGCCGCTTCAAGAATCAATTACTAACCCCACACACTAATCCTTACTCACACACTTTCTGGGAAAACTTCCCAGGAGGTCACCCATTCTAGAATTGTTCCAAGTCAAGCACGCTTAACTATAGAGTTTTTCTGTTATGGGCTACCGAAAAGTAGATGCATCTTGTTTGTATAGGTAGTACTAATTAATTCTTATAAGCTATCCCAACCTGTGCAGTCTCATACTTGTACAGTCTTTGGAATTCCTTTCTTTTGGGTGTCAATTCGATTCATTCATGTTCCCCCGCTGGAAGCCTGCAAGGAGCTGCTCCTTATTTGTGCCCTTTCGCACCGGCGATCACTTCCCTCCCTCGTCAGCGCTCGGGATGTTACATGCCCATCAGCTTTCGCCTGGTTCGTCCTCGAACCACACTATACTATGAGAGAGTCCCTGCCCTGATACCACTTGTAACGCTCGGCCGCTTCAAGAATCAATTACTATCCCCACACACTAACACGGGACTTTTCAGCATGCTTTATTCTCACTCAAACGCTTCTTGGGAAAACTTCCCAGGAGGTCACCCATCCCAGTTTTGCTCCAAGTCAAGCACGCTTACATTGGTAAGCATCATGATCCAAAAAATCTAATGTTTTGATGGCTTGAGAAAAGCAAAGTTGAGTTCTGCCATGAATTTGTAGAAGGGAGAGATTTTCAGATAATCTGCTAGTTGGGTTACATTGATTTTTGAAAATTTTGTTGGTGTAGAATAAAGAACGTGTTCTAGACCTACCGATGGTATGTCGCATTCGCAAGAAAAGGGACTTGCGAACAAGTGGCTTCATGGCCGAAAGTTAAATCATGGTGGTATGATTAAGATGCAAAGTACAAACATTAGTAGGTTGACTGAAATTAAAGCAATTGATGTATCTTGGTAATAGGTAGCTGAGGATGTTAGCTATTGAAGACATCAAGGGCTGTGGTTATGTGGGGGCCAATGCTGAGGAAAAAGTTCCAAATTTTTAGGTTTTAGTTTCAAAGAAGAGAAGTTGAACTTTTGCAGCTTTTCTTGTGGCTGTGAGCAGTATTTCTATTCAAGATTGCAGGGTATGATTTTATGGGGCTACATAAACTTCCATAGTTTGAGTTTACGGTGGCAAAGAAGATAATATATTTCCTGAAACTGTTTAAGTGGATATGAGCAGTACTGTCATCCATTAACAGCAAGGGAAGAAGTGGAGCGAAGCATAGAACACTTAGTCATGCCTGTTAGGCACTTAATCTCCATTTATCAAAACTAATACTTTCAATTATGTGAAATTGCTCGAGTATATTATTGAAGTTTTATTAATGTTGTTTTAAGTTTAATAAGAGAAAGTGAGATACCAATGTATAGGGAAACTTTCAAATTCCAAATGAAATGAAATGACTTACATAATGCTCAGTACCTGACAGTAAGATTGAACCTTTTGGAGAAACCCTAGAAAACAGGGAATTTTGTGCTCAGAAGTGTATCCAATCGGACCTTGGCCTTTGGCTCTGCGGTGGATCTTTTTACAAATCTTTCTGGCAGTATGTAGTTCATCACATACCCCCCTTTGTTCTTAGGATGTTGGGTATAAATTGTAACTCTACAACATCATCACTTTTATCCCAAACTAATTGTGTCGGCCCTATAAATTGTAACTCTCTGGCTCAGAAAAAATACTCAAGTCACCGGGCCAGTTCTAGACCAGTAACACACCTCAGCTTTGGTAGAATTGCATATATCCAAACGATGTGCAAATCCTCTCATGCATTGCCCAGTTTTCCACGGAACATACGATTAGTGTTACGAAGTTGTTGATAGGGTATCAAGTTCCATATTTGATATTAATATGGTTAATTTTCGGTTTGAACTACAACTATTATTTTTTTCCCATGTTATTAGCATGTTTGTCTCTTACATTATGTTTTGTAAGCTATTTATCATTTGCAACCATATTAACAGCTGGGTAGGATACAAAGATTAATGATTCAGAAAATAGCCTTGTGATTTGTATGTGCACAACCATGTTAGATATAAAACATGTTCCATTGTAGCTTAGCTTTTCTAGTAATTTTAAATTCGTGTGTCTTAAATTTCAGGTGTGGTCATGAGTTCTGCTATTCTTGTGGTGCGGAATACAGGGATGGCCAACAGACATGTCAATGTGCATTTTGGGATGAAAACAACTCTGAAGACTCGGTGACAAACTCTCTTCAAGAATCAGAACAATTGGCATGCGAAACTTTCAATTCTTTCTCCATGATCATGGATGATACATACTCAGACCAAGAATGGTCTCAGTTTGCACTTATAGAAAGGTTCCTAGATGGTGCTTTTAGTCTCAGTGACCATAATCCATACCAATCTCCTCCTCCCCAATGTACAGACTCCTATGTAGACCCTTTGAAGGATCTTCATCAGCTTCCATGGCTCGAGACATTTGTGTCTGTGATAAGTGACAACTACTATGAAGATTATATTCAATGAAACTCTGCTACATCTTAAAACTACCTAATAAGCTTAAGGGGATGCAGAAGGTGTTTCTCACTCTCTCCACATTTCTCAATAGGTGTAGCAACCTTTACATCATGTAATTTCCTTTTATGTTCCCAGCTTGGATATCTTTTGACCTAAGGTCCGTGGATTAATATCTAGGTGAAGAATCTGTTCATGATTTTCTTTAAAAGAAAGATAAAAGAAAAGTTGAAAGAGAAAACAGTTTGTTTGTGGTTGGGAATAATACAATATTAGTCATTTGAAATAAATTCCTGATTTTGTGCTTTTGGTTGAGAGTGACTGTTTGATTGTGTTATGGTTTTTCTTTGTTCTTAAAGCTGATTTATAGAATAGTTACGGAAACAGTTGTTTTTTATGTTTTTTGTTTTGTTTTGAAAGTTAAAAACTAAAAAAGAAAACAAAAATAACCTAGATATGTTCTCTAAATTTGATTTTAAAGAGAAAAAAAATCAGTTATAGTTTTTATTTTTATTTTTTACAGAACAGTCTTTATCAAATGGGTTTTTTTGTTCTGAAAATTAAAAAATTATTTTTCAAAACAAATTTCAAACAAGCCCAATTGGGTCACGCTACTGTACTACATTATTAACTTGTTATTAATCTGAATCACATATCCACAAACTCATTAACCACAAACTCATTAACCATTTATTCAGCTAGTTTAACTACTTATTGAAAATGATGTAATTAATTAATTATTTAATTGAATTAGCTGTTATTTTTGTGTCACTTCAATTGGGGTTACCCATTTTCTCAGGGACAGCTTAGAATCTCTCTATTTTTCATTTTCAGATGCCTATATGTTATGTCCAAAATTTGGTGTCGGTGACAAAACAAAATTAAGGACGTCTCCTTAATTTCAAAATTTATCTTGTATTCTATTTTTAATTTCACGACTAAAAAATTCTTTTCAAAACAAAATATTCATTTATAAAGTCATCAAATCCTCCCCTCCAAATATTGAAATATTGTTACATCGTCCTTTGGTCAGAGAAACATAATAGTCTAAGGGTGTTCATTAAGTTTTACAAAGATATAATAACACAAAAATATTTAACTTATGCAAAGATGTATTTTGGAGGGGAGGACTTGATAATTGATATGACTTTATAAAAGACAATTGAGTAACGTTATATATTTGATAATAATGAAAAAACATATCAATAATGAAAAAAAAAAAAAACAGTGGGACCAGAGTAGATTCAATTCACATGGTAGGTAGCTCCAGGTTAATCTTCAAACAAAATAGCAAGGTTGAAGCCGCGTCTAATGGGGAACGAAGTGGGTCTCAATATAGTGAGAATGGAAGAAACGTGGGGGGAAGCATGACGTGACTCAACTTGTCCATTTTTTTCATTTTTCAATATTTTCTATCAATGGGACAAGATTGCCTTGCCTCACTGTTGAAAATGTTGATCGCTTGTTATTAGGGTCAACTTTTCAAATGACTCGGTTTTCTTGTCCCTCTCATCCATTTAATTTTATACATTTTGTGTCATCTAACATTGATACATTTGTTGACCACCTTCATTCAACCAACATTTGTAATTGTTGTTTAGTAGACTTTCAATGTATAAAGTGTGAGCTAATTTATTTAATTCAGGGTTCAGTTTATGTTCATAATCTATCTTTTACAAGGTGTGTAAAAATAAAAGGCAGTGTACATTGATTTTGGCATCCTCTCTGTATGTTTTCTTCTTCTCTCATAAAAACTAAATGTTGGTGGTAAAATATTATCTTTCAACTAAACAATGTTTTTCGACAGCAATGAGACTCTGAAATTCTCTCATAAAACATGTTCTGTTCATAGGAGTTGAACAGAACACTAGTAAAAATTCGACTTACACATGATACTTAGCCAAATCGAAATAACATATATGAAGATGGCAGTTAACAAAATTTATATTTGAAAATGTTATAATTATAGAAGTTCATTCATCGAAACGCTTGTTACCTGCATGCTTGACAAGTGTCGAGATATTAATGAATTAAGATTGGATGTTCAAACTAGCAAAAATCTGAAAATAGACCAGGGTAAAAGGGCTTTGGAATAGTTGGCTAAATTTTCTTTTACGTATTTGGTAATTAGTATTTATTTGGCATGACTTATTTATAGTGTCTCTTGCTATAAAAAGAATTTTTTTATAACGAATAAAAAAGTTAAAAGTTAAAAACTCCTGAGAGTTTTTTTTCAATATATATGTCAGCTTGTTAGAGTCTTCATATTTATTTTACAGTTTTGCCCTTATTATAAATTTATATTTAAAATTTTTATCATTTTCCCTAATAATTCATCCTAATAACAAATTATTTCATCTTTTTTCTTTAAAATTATTAGGACAACTTTATATAATCATCAAACACATTAAGTTCTTTTTTTAACTTTAACTAATTAAAAGTAACTTTTAACTTAAAAAAATATGTCAAGCAAGATCTTAACTTTAGGATGGGTTCAAGTGTTAGTATAAATTTTAGGACGGATGAATTATGAAAAGAATATAAGTTTGATTTCACTCGCCTTAATATGATAATTAGATCATGATATTGAAAAAAAAAAAAAAAATTATGTACTCTAGCAAAGTCCTTTGATTGTTTTGACGTTTACAAATACATAAGATAAATCAAGTATGACTTTCATCCCTTTTATTTCTTGTAATTTTACATTTACGTTCAATAAAAACTTGTTTATTTTATATATTATGGAAATAGTAAAATGATTTAATAAGTTCATTTGATACTTTCCATACAATTCTTTTTTTTGTCCTTTTGCTTTTTCCGTACAATTCTTTATTATTCTCTTAATTGCACTTTAACATTGGCGTATCTCGTTTATTTATATTCGTTCCTTTAAGGCACCGTATTAATTTTTACACAATAACTGAAGTTGACAAACCATCAATGTATTTGAGAGAGAAGAGATTTGTTTGGTTTTCTACTTTTCACCTCAGATGCATAAATTCTTAGCACATAATTAATTCTCTCAAAAGTTTAAATTCTAAATTATTTAATTGAACATTTTAATATCAATTCTTTTAACAATTTAAACCATAACAAATAGACACACGAGTAATTTTATTACATTTAGATACATTTTTTTTATGTAACGTAAGATTAATTTTATCCTTCTTTTCATGATTATGATTAATTTTGTACATTGTGAATGACTCAATGAAAGGGAGAGAAGAGGAGGAGAAGCACTTACTCAGTGGGGCTGAAGTTTGGTGGTGGTGAGTAGTGGGGACAAATGCAGCATTGTTGATATATTTGGATTTGGAAGGACACAGTTATATATGGTGAGAGACACAGAAACCAAACCCACTAGTGTCTAGTGACACTTTCAAAAGAACAATAACTCATCGTAGCAGTAATAGCAGCAGATTATTATTGTCATGATGGTGGTGTCGTGACCCTTTGTGCTTTAAAGTTTAAAGCCAAAAGAACCCAATCCCCAAGGCACGGTGAATAATAATAATAATAATAATATTATATAATAAATTAAGAACCACAAGGCTTAGCCTTAGCCCTACTATTTTTGTCCACATTGAATACTTTATAGGTGACCCTTTAGGATTGTTTCATCATATTTCGGATTACCTCAACTTAACTTTCATAACCCTGACACAACCTACTAACGTACTCTTTCTGCTAATCTTCCCATTTGTTTTTTTCTGCTCTTCATGGCTTCCTACGTCACTTTTCCAACTTCCAAAGCTGCGTGGTCCTCAGATGTTGCCATTTCACGTTCTCTTCTGACTATTCCCGTTTACCTTCTCTCTTCTTTCCATAACATTAAGGTAGTGTTTGCTAGAAAATTTATTTTGGGATTGATGAAAAAGTGTAAGTGGATATTGAAAAATATAATGTTTGGCTCAAGTTTTTGAAAAAAATACTAGACAAATAAGATAGATAGGAAAATAACCTTTGTGTTGATTTTTGGATGAAATTCACTGTTACAGAATACCACTTGAGATGTTGTATTTTGAGATAACTGAGAAGTGAAAAAACAGGTACAAAGTTTCTCTCGAACATAGATTTTGCAAATTCAAATTAATTTTTCTGGTAATATTTCGGTCAACAAAACAACTTTTTTTATATTTTTCTACTAAATTCACTTTCCAACCATTTCCCTAGTAATTACATTTATGTAGTATTCAAAAAATTTCTCTTCAACTAGACACTTTCTAATTACTTTCTTCAATTCAATCAGGATCTTACCATATATATTATGGGTACCTTTTTAGTCGTATAGAAAAAAAAAATTATGTAATTCATTATAATTATTTATTTTGAAAAATATATAATTATAATATTACAATTGTTTTTTTTTTTCTCTTTATGTCAATCAACAACTTTAAAAAAAATAATTAATATTATAACAATATACTTTCCAAAATATATAGTTATAATATATATGATTTCCCATATATTATATTATTTTTCTCAATGTTTTCGGAGAGTTGGCAAGTTACTGAAAATTTTTACCACCAAATGAGAATGTCAAACAATGAAACTTTTCACTCAGGTTAAATAAAAATTTCGTTAGAAAGTTATATTTCGTATTGCCTTCTAAAAGGCTTCAATATGATTTTCTTTTTCGATTCTTCATCATATTCTGCGTAAAAAAATTATTATTACTGAATCATTATATTGTACAGGGAAATAAAATTTGTGCAATTCAAAAAAAAAATCAATTTAAAAAAACTTCTACAAAATTTAATAATATATGCTGGCATTTATATAGCTCTTATTGTTACTCTTTTAAGGATATTATTGTAAAATTCGATATTATATAGAACTGTTATTTATCAAGAAATAGATTCTACGAAATTTTGTACCAAATCACTTGACACAACCGCAATGCTGTTTTTCTTTTATTCATCACCAAAAGAATATTAGAAAAAAGAAAAACTACAACACACTGTGGTTAATAAGAATATAAAATGATTCCATATATTCACAAACTATACAATATAAACATTTACAAATTAAACTAAAAAAATCTACATGTGTAAGCTTCTTCTGAATTTATTTTCTGTCTAAATTAAGGGCAACAATGTAACTACATCTAATTTTTACACTAATTTGAAACAAGAAAAGCCAGTATTGGAATCCCAATCTATTTGGATGCTACGTTAAAAGTTCTCTTCATGAAAGCGAGTTCTAGTAAGTAGAACGAGAACCGTGATTGCGCATGCTTTATATAAAATGAAAGTTACATCGTATACAGTCA